GCGGTGCTTGTTGCGAACATTATATCATCACAACAAGACGAACTCATATTAGTGGCTATTACAAGTAGGTGAAAATTCACGTATTTAAGCGGTAATTATGAGCAATATAGCAGATAGAACACGATCACGCACATTTAATCCCAGTTTATTGTCAGTCAATAGTATGATTACAGATCCTAACGAAGACAATGAATACAGTAATGATGATGTTAATAATCCGCAATATCAAGATTATTCAGGCGGGAGTATATCGAACAGAAGAGTCACGAAGAATCCACATCGACCTTCGTTAAGGTAATAAAATCTATCACTACAGCAACCAAGTATTATTGATGTTAACCAATTCGCAACGTCATTACCCAATATTTCACTCAATGTCGCAACACAAGTACATATTCAACATTTATTGGACAGTATTGTCGATTTTAGTGGCAGAAATGAAGATGTTCGAACATGGTAACAACATATTGAATTATTATTTGATTTAGCTGATAAAATGTTCAGTTTCTAATTTATAAAATCAAGTACAATAACAAGTGAAGAAAATGAATAAACGTGTACATATATGTATAAATGAAAACCACAAGAAGATGACGGCGGACTACTACAAGGAATATAGTCGGTATATGTACAAGGGTGAATAAATACATATCTACAAGTGACGAACAAATCAATGAGACGAAATAAAGAAAGAAATGAAACAACACATATATAACTGTGCACATGGTTAACGATGATCGAAAAACAACGGACTGTTACAGCAATATTTTCATTTAGTTTTTTATCCATAGTTTTTTTTCTCAGTTTGTTTCCTGATGAACGGGACGTTCATCTTACAGAACGGGGAGGTGTTATGTAAGGAGATCCTCTTACATAAGCAACCAAGGCATCATATCTGCTTTGACACGTATTAAAGACGTGCCATAGGAGACAATTGTATGACAGGTATCATACATATATATATATATATATTCATTCTCTTTCTTTTTGTCAGGAATTTCCTCAGTTTTATTTCTTATTGTCAACTACATGTATCTCTTTCGTTCTCTGTCTTTCTATGACGAATTTCCCCAGTGATAGTTCTTTTCGTTCAGGAATTTCCCCAGTGTTAGTTCTTGGTTTCTTTATTTTCTGTAATCGCTTACATGTATCCCAGCTGATCATGTTCAGTTTCTAAATAAACATTTAAAATCATATCAAATTCAGTGATACAAATCAAACAATCTCTGGTGACAGCAAAGCGTTAGAACTATAATGACTAGAGCCACATAACAATAGGATATTTAGGATATTTATGATATTTAGAATATATAGTATGTTTAGCATATATAGGATATTTAGGCTATTGAGGATATATAGGATGTATAGGACAGTTGGAATATATAGGATATTGAGGATATTCTGGATACATAGGATATTTAGGGTATTTAGGATATATAGGTTTAAAGACTCTTTTCTTGTATTTTCTTTAAGGAATCTTTTCTTGAACATCTTTAAACGTTCTTGTAATATTAGATCACTTTTGCCGGTACGATCACAAATAGAAACTTGTAAAATTTCGAAGGAAAAGTTTCTATCTATGGTCATAAGCAGACTTTTTAATAAGATAAAATTAGTATGTGAGTAAATCTTTTCCTTTTATCGATGGTAGTGCCATAAACAAATAAATAGACAACTAAACAATTTCAATGAATATATTAACTACTAATTAGTAGCCTTGAATGGGTTATTACTCATTTGTGAGGAGCAGATGAGATTAATTTTAAGAGTTTTATAACGTTTGATTCTTCAAGATGACAGCTGTCACAGAAGTGTAGCAGAGATTTGTGAAACTGGCGAAGAGAGACAAGGGCAGAAGAATACAATAGTTCGTCGACAGATGCATGAGACTCTAAAACAAAAAAAAGGCTAAATTAGATAATGTGGTAGAGAATAAAAACGGCAGTACCTAAAAGATAAAAATGCGAAATCATGAAAGGATAAAATGCACATACTAAGTTCCTCTTTCATACATTGGGTTAATCTATCAATAAGGTTATTTTCGTCTGTCACCAAAGCCTTAACTGTCTACTAACTAGAGTGCATCACTATGGTCAATTGTCTGTCTTCATGAACTAAGTTCTGTGTTCTGTCTGGCACGTGTATAGCTTCTCTATATATAAAGATATACGAAAAATCTCAAAGAATCTTGGCAGAATACTTAAGACAAGAATAGTCACCTGATTCCTTAATCCTTAAAGAATAATTTCAAGAACGTCGACTAGTGAAAGAAAACGTGAAAAGAAAACATACCATTTTTGCTTTTGTTTCACTTTCATCGGAATAAGAAACAGAGTGAGTTAAGGTGCCTGACTAATGTGCGTTTAAAGGAATAAAATATTCATTCGATTACAGTGAGTAAAAGGTATTTCATGTTTCAATTCCACATAGCACTAAGACATTTTTCTCATACAAAGTCGATATTTTCTAACTGCGTTCATCATGACGCTGTTATTTGTGTCACTGTTAGATTAAATTAGAGAAATTAGGAAAAATACGCAGTTGATTGCAATTAATATTTGTCCATGTCATATGAGTACGTCAACGTTGTTGATACTGTTCCGGGTGAATGATCACATATCAACTTGTCCTGTTCGTTCCTCACTGGAAGGATCTCTCTCAAACAGCTTCAGGAGCCTCTAAATAAGAAGATTAAAAGCGAAAATTTGAGCGCTAATCTTGAAACTAAAGCAGTCATTTGATGCCTCTACTTGTTGCATAAGAAGGCGTGCCTCATTAAGAACTTCGCAAACAACACCGGTCGGGATTCCGACATGCTACGGCATGCTTTTGGTAGGATTGTGCCAGATTTCATCGGATTCTGGCATCGGATCCTGTCGGATCTTTCAGAAACTTGTCTTTGGAATCATCGGCCTAGGTACTATCTAAACCATAGAGAAAATGCCTTGGTCGAAACGTTTTGTTTTCTGTTCCAGATGTATTTCGTTACACTTTTACTATGTACTAAACTGCAAAACAAGTCTCAGTTTCACTAATGAATACAATGCAAACATAGTCAGAGTTGGTCTTGAAAAGCTGAACAAGTGTTTCTTCAATTACAGAATATTCTGCTACTTGTCCCGTGTCTTTTGCAGAGGACGTTTCTAGGACCCATCAGTTTCAAACAGCCTAATAAATGGTAAGTCAAGCGATAAAAGGAGCTGATCAACCACGAGCTCAATGGTATTGGAAATCAAATTCTGACCCGTGGTCAACAAATGGAAATGAAGAATGGACAAAATATTCTGATATCGAATCAGCGATTATCGAAGAAGT